CACAGCCCCATGGCACCACAGGGATCACTGAGTCCAGCTCCTGCCCTGCACAGCCCCATGGCACCACAGGGATCACAGATTACAACTCCTGCCCTGCACAGCCCCATGGCACCACAGGGATCACAGATTACAACTCCTGCCCTGCACAGCCCCATGGCACCACAGGGATCACAGATTACAACTCCTGCCCTGCACAGGACCATGGCACCACAGGGATCACTGAGTCCAACTCCTGCCCTGCACAGCACCATGGCACCACAAGGATCACTGAGTCCAACTGCTGCCCTGCACAGGAACATACCAAGAGTCACACCCTGTGCCAGGAGCAGGGCTCAGCACTCCCGGAGCTGTGTCAGGCTCAGGCCCATGTGCACTCCGCGTACCTTCACCTGCAGAGCTGACCTGCCTGTCCCACAGAGGCCACGCAGCCGGGCTGGTGAGGGCACTGCAGCAGCACAAAGGTTGGGCAGGGCTGTAAACCCTGCCCACGAAGCTCGGGCAGGACACAGGTCACTGACACGGGTTTGCAGCAGGAAAACCCCAGCAGATGGAGCTGAGCAGGAGGATGGCAGCCAGGGGGGTTTGCACACAGGGACTGGGCTGTAACCACCCTGACACCAGGGCTGAGCCCCTGCAGGCGCTCCCAGACAAGGCCATGAAATATTAAAGCTCCTCACACTCAGGGACAGAACACTGAAAACAAGGTAGCTTGAAACTGGCATTGAAAAATAAATAAATTTCACATGGACACACAAAGCAGTGAGTGATCCTTCGCTGATTACTGCATCAGATGGGCAGCCCCAGAAGAAGTGTGGAATCACAGAATATCCCCAGCTGGAAGGGACCCACAAGGAGCAAGTCCAATGATCCCGAAATCACACCATGATGTGAAACCACAACATCCTTCAGGGTCTTGCAGACAGCCTCTGCCACTTCACATCCTCACAGCTTTCCTATTTTCCTGGTATCACCTCAACCCCAAGAAATGATCAAGTCCTGTAAATATTGTGTGGTCAACTACCAACACAACCGAAGCTGTGCTCACACCCAAGATGTTTCTGAAATATTTATGTTCCTTCTCTATTATCCTTATTCATTAAGTTCCTTGTGTGTTATCCTCGGTTTTCCCCACCAAAATGTAAATCATTTCAGGAACACCTTGTTCAGTGGCTTTTGAGAAGCAAATGTGCCATGTTTCCATTTTAATTGGTACATTCTGCCCTTATCAGATGAGTTCCACAAGAAATAACACACACCTCTCTGCAAAATTGTTTTCTAAATTAAAAAAAAACAAAACAAAACAACCCACCACTTAAAAGAAGATGCTCCTTCTATATAGGAATCCTGGCTCCCCTAAAACTACTGGTGATACCAAACCAAATAAATACAGTAATGAGTTCAAAAGAAAAATGTGCATATGAAAATATATTACAAAATGTCAGGAGATTTATGTCTGTGTGTGTAGCACCACTAAAGCTCTTGAAACAAAGCATTTGCTATCTCATAAAGCAGGACTACAGATACTGCCCAGCTTGTAGAAATTACTGAGGGCCCATCACATGTCTGGTTTCTGCAGATCAGACCCTAAAAATGTTGAGTTGAACACTCATCACACTTCATTTCCAGGGCAAATGCTGCTGGTTTCTCAGGTGCACAAAATGGCCTCACTTCTGCTCAGAACAGTGCTAGAAACTCAGATTTTTGCAGGTTTGTATGAATGTCAGATGTAGATGCCATTCTTACCACATTTTTGGGTCTCTGAAGAGAACAGAGGCACCAAAATCCTGCAAGCAGCTGGAGCAGATCATTGCCTGCTCTCAGAGCAAAGCAGAGAAGCCACAAACACCCAGCTGCCTGTGCTGGGTAGGTGTTAATGGCACACTTGTGCCCAGCTTGGTCTGAAAAGTGATAAAAATGCTCACCCTGAAAGCTGGGCTTGCAAGATAAGCAACTGTGACAAAGGATGCATTTCAATGGCAGAAGAATGTGTGCTCTCAACTTTTATCACCCAACAGAGGATGAGAAAACCTTTCTGCCAGGGAGACCAGGACTCACCAGGTCAGCTCTGACACCAAAGGGCACCGGCCCAGGGCACAGAGGTTTGAAGAAAGGTCCTGCTGGGGCAGGATGGGCCTTGGCAGCTGTGCCCAGAGCAGGAGGGAAGGAAGAGCCTCTGAAGGAGCTCCCCTGTGCAGCAGCAGCAACCATCACATGGTCTGAGACCAGAGTTTGGCAGGTAGAAATTACTTCCTCCTCCAACAGTAAAAACAAGAAGGAAAAATCCTTCTTGCCAGGAAAGTCACACTGAAATCCTTGAAGGCCTCTCCAGCCTTCTGCTGTCTGCCACAGGTTCTCCCAGCAGCAAACCCGGGGTGTCTGTCACACCTCAGAAACTGAGCACTTGGAGAAGTAATACACGCTGAGCAAATACACAAGGAAATAAACTAATCCCTGTTTACTAATCTGTCAGGAGATAGCACGCAGTACATGCTTCCAGATCCCAGCAGATAAACACGACAGCAGGAATACATTTGTTATTCTAATTCCTCAGCCCTACAACAAACAAATATTTTTTCCCGTCCTTTCTTCAAACAATCCCACCTGATCAGTCCAGGAATTTGCTGCATAGCCCTCATTCCCACAAGCAATGTTTCTGCAAAGCTCGAGCCCTTTTCCATGTGAAACTTGCTCTGTCTCATGGATACAATAGCTAATTTTGGACTTACCCTGCTCCTGCTGGGCCACAGTCATCACTGGCATGGCTCCACTGTAATTCAGTCTACTGATGCATTACAGACAATGCACAACATGAGCTAATCCTTAATGATGCTTTTCCCCCTCTCCCCCCTCCCCAACATATTATTTGAGTAAATAGTAAAATGACATACGTTAAAATTATTAAATGAAAATAACAAACAGCAAACTAAAACCAGGCTAAAATCGTCTTGCAAACGCTAATTTCAGATGACACAGTAATCAGATTCACAGATACATGAGGACAAGCAGTGCAGCCCAGAGGAAAAGGCACAGCTCTTAAAGTCACAAGGCCTGGTCAGAGCTGCAGCTCTGCACTGACTTGAGAGAGATCTTTTTTATGTTCCATTCCCCAACCTCTGACACACAGATGTGATATCTCAGTGCAGAAAACCTAACCACGGTCATTTCTGAACAATAAAGAAGCAGACATGAAGCTGTGTTTAAAAATAATGCCCAGGTACAAGGGGCTCCCACCAAACAGGCTGATGCCTCCCCCATACTGAGGTGTAAGATCTGCAGGATCCAGGCTCAGTGCCATAAATGAACATGAAATGTTTTAATTTCTGCACATATTTTCATTAACAGAGGAGGAACAGCCAGGGCAATCTCTGAAGGTGAGTATTCATCACTTGTGACACGTTTGTGTTGTTATTTATTTTCAACCTCTACTTTTTTTTTCTTTAATAAAGCATTGTGTTTGGCCCAACTCTTTTCTTCCTTTAAATCATAAAATATCAAATCCTTCCTTATCTAAACCACCTTGTTAGGAGTCACAGAAGTTCCAGGGGCCTTCATGCTCTGCTCCCTAACGGGTCAGCATCAGCCAGACACAATACCCAGGTCACAGCAGCAGGGCTGCTACAGCAATTTTCGTCTTTTGAAATGGTAAATATTTCAGGGAAGTGCTTTAAACAGTGAATTAAGTACGTGGAAAGCAAGCTGCTTACCAAGAACTTTAAAAATATAGGTTTTAAGGCGTTTGCATTGTGTGGGGCTCTACAGGTTTTGATTTCTGCTTCAAGTAGAAGCCGGAGCAACTCTAACAAAGGCTGAGAGCTCTCATTTGCATTACGGGCCAAAATCTTAGCCACAGTCATTCAGCACCAAAAAAGATAAGGAGGCTTTATTTTTCCTTTTAAAAAAACACTGCAGTTGTTGGAAGAAAATTTTAGGAGCTCCAAACATCCACATTTCTAAGCTACTTGCTTCACTTTTTCATGCAACAGATGCTGCTTTGTATCAGCTCCTGCATATTAAATCATTCTGACAACCAAGAAAGCATACATTTGTTTGTGCCAGAGAGAAGCATGAATACACACACACACACAGATATCTTCTCACGCAGAAGCACACAATTATGCAGCATTCAAATATTTGGAATGAACTTTGGCCTTTGCTTTAAAAAAAAAAAAAAGTACTCTCAAACAACAATCAGGAACAGACCCAGCAGTCATCTGGCTGAGCTCACAGAAATCAACAATCTGCAGCAATAAAACACCACTTGTGGGCAGCCATTTGAAAGTTACTTGGAAAATTATTCTTAGGTGGGATAGTTTTATACATGTCTTTTATGATTTATGATGGCCCTATGGATCGAGTTCGGAATGCAGACTAAAAATAAAATCTATGTTCATTCAAAAAATGGAGGAAAAAATCAGTTCTATTCACCCTCACATGTGTAGGGTGTTTTTGCACTCCAAACGACCTCCGTCAGCTCTGCCATTTGCATTCCCGATTTAAAAAGTAATTCGAAAACATCAGCAGAGCAGGGCTCTAAATCACCCCTTCAGAGGATAGTAATAAAGAAGCCAAACAACCCAAACAAAACAGTTTTCCTGACGCACTAATTACAAGAAAATCGTAATGCAACAGCACTTGAGAACACGCTGAAACTTCTGACAATGAGAGCACCCTCAGTGAGTGTAACTGATCCGCAGCGCTTCCAACTTTTTTTTTCTTTTTTATGATCTCGGCCTGAGGCATATTTTCTCTACTACGTTTTCTCTCTCGTTACTAGAGAGTAATTCAATTCTGTAGCCAGTTAGGGGTTTTTCTGAACTAGATAAGGAGCAGGCAGAGAGGACCAGCACCGCAGGGAGCGCGGCAGGGCCGGGACGCCAAACGAGCGCTGTCCCGGCCGTGCCGGAGCTCGGGGGTCCCTGAGGGTCCGTGAGGGTCCCTGCGGGTCCCGCTGCTCCCCCGCACCCCAGGGCCCCGGGGCCGCGCCCTCCGCACCCCGGTACCTGGGGATGGTGATGCACTTGGTGTTGATGTTCTGCGTGGTGATCGCCTTCTCCAGCTCGTCCAGCTGCCCCGTCTTCTTCAGCTTCTTCACCAGGCTCTTCACCGCCTTCTCGCACCATTTCTCCTCCTGCCCGTTCTGCTCGCCTTTCTTCCAGCCCAGGAGCCGCTTGACGATGGGAGGAGTGAAGGGCAGGATGGAGGACATGCTGGCTGTGCCGGCAGCGCCCGCCGCCGGCTCCGCGCTCTGCCCGCCGCCCCCCGCGCTCTGCCCGCCGCCGCCGCCTCACACCGCGCGGCCCTGCCCGGCCCGGCCGCTCCCCGCCCGCCGCTGCCTCAGCGCCGCGGGCCCGCGGCTCCAAACTTTGCCCGGAGTTCGCCGCCTCTCCCCGGCGGCGGCGGCAGCTCCCTCCTCCTCCCCCTCCTGCCCCGCTCTGTGTGCGCGGAGAGGCGCCCACTCCAGCTCATTCCCAGTCTGTCTCTCATGCAAATTGCCTGCTGGCCGCCCCGGCCCGGCTTCCACCCCCTCCTTCCCTCCCAAACACGCCGCCGAGGGAGGGAGGGAGAGAGGGAGGGAGGATGGAAGGAGGGCGGGGAGGCGGCCGGCCCGCCGGGAACTCCGCGCCTCCATCGCCGCCCGCGGAGGCCCCGGCTCCCCGAGGGGATCGCGCTCCGCGGGGCCCACGGCGAGGGCACAAAGGCCCAGGAGCTGGACAAGGAGAGGTGCCGGGACAAACTGCACCGAGGGCAGGCAGGAAAATAAACACAAGTGTAAAGCCCCACAAGTGTAAAGTCCGCTCAGTGAGGGAAAGGGGACGAGAGGGTCCACAGCGTGGCTGCGGCCCCTGCCACGGGCATTTCGTCCATTCCCACACAGATACCCGAACGCAGCTTGGCCAGCCGTGCTCAGACAATCAGCTGCTTTTTGTTCCAACCCCTTTAATTTAGTATTCCATTCCCTCATCTTTCCACCCCGAGCAACAGGCACCCGAATAATTTTTGCCCTGTATCAGACAAAAAGGACACCCTGGAGGTGTTTACCGCTGCAGCTGGTCAGAAATTCTCAGACGGAATATTTTTGTCAGAGGACGGCAGTTTGTTCACATCTAGGTGTTTTGTAGAGATGCTTCGGTTTGGGCTGACTCAGGGTGGCATCCAGGTACATTTCCAGTTTCTAACTTTCCATCACTGGGCAGACTGGGTTGTCAGACTCCCCGGTCTCAAGCATGCTGAAAGGCAGCCCAGGTCCTAAAAAAACATATAATTATAAACTTTAGCTCCTCAAAGCAGCAGTTCTCTGTTAAACTACCCCAGAATGGTGCTGAGCAAGGAGTCTCAGAGGCACCTGGTGACTCTGCAGGTGCCCCCAACCAGGCTGGTTCCTTTTATCAGCTCCAGCTGTATCTCATCTCCCTGCAGCAGCTGCCCAGGAGCAACAGGGTGAAATTTTGTGGGACTTGGCTCCCGAATGCTGAGTTTTCAAGCTGAGATACGCTTCCCAGTTTTCTCCATCCTATCAGAAGGGGCGGCGCTGAGCCTGAATTTGGGAAGCCTGCGGGGCAGCTCGGCAGCTCCCTGACCCGCGGGTTGTTGCCAACCCACATTCCCATACTCCGGGATCCAGAGTAACCCGGGGGAGACTCCTCGACAGCGGCATCCCAAAGCTCCCAGTGGGTGCCTGTGGATTTGGAGCGGCCAGCCATCCACACTGCCTCCTGGCAACTCAGGAACCGATGGCATCAGGCAGCGGCTGAGCTCTGAGGCAGCTGCCTTGGCTTTCACAGGCTGTTCAAACACTGGCTTTTATTCCAAACTGACAGCACCAATTTTTGAAATATTAATATTGGATGCAAATTAAAGATGTCTTTCTTTTTTTTTTTTTTTCCCTTAGGCATTCTCATATTATTCCCCAACATGCATTCCCTGAGTGTCTTGAATTTTGGAGGCTCACCACTAAAATTTTGGACTGTTGCCTTGACCCAGTTTTTGGCTGCTTTGGTTGAGATGCCTGAAGTACAAAGATGTGGAACCCCTGTAGATGATGATCCCAACATTGTTTAAGGAAATATCTCCTCAATACCTCTAAAGCACTGCACGTAAAATTACTGATACTATTTACACTAAAAGCAGGATGCCTCAGTTACTGACTTGCTGGTGCTGTTGACTTGCTGTATATTTGTGTTTTTCTGAAAAGGCCAAGTTTCTGATAGTTTATGATTATTTAAGGGTCTGAACTCTGATTTAAAAGTTGTTGTTCACAACTCCAGAAAATGGCTTGAATGTGTGAACCAAGTGAAACACAGATGGGGAAGTCAAATAAAATTTTTAAATGCAGAAATACATTCTTAATACATTTTGAAATGGGGTGAAGTTAAATAATCTTTTTCTATTTTCCCAATTCTTGGCCCAGCATATTTTGCAAGCCCAGAGGCTGAAGGATCTGCCTCAGACCTGCTAAGTCCATATTACTTTAGAGTGATCTCAGAGCAGATTTCTGTTCTGGGGAACAGCATTTCTTTCTGGCTGTTTTGGATAGAAAACCACAGGCACCATTCCATGCTTCTTTCATCCAGAAAGATTTTGGTAATACTCAAATCTCAGCTCTACACTCACAATTCATGCTGCGACCTTGGTTCAGCAGAGCTTCTAGAATTTTCTGTCCACGTTCATGGGCTGATCTTCACTCCTCACAGTCATATCACAAGTCATGGTCTGGGTACATTTGAATAAGGGGAAGGAGAGGAAGAGCTGAGTGGTTTGCTCGTGCTCGTACAGTGATTTAGTGGCAAAAGGGTGAAGATAATTTGCTAAACACTAAACCAAACTGGGTCTCTTGCTTACAACCTCGAAATGAGGTGTGGGCAGCTAAACCACTGATCTAAACTCTGGGCCACAGCAGCACTGAAAACACTCCTGAAAACAAACAAACAATTGGGCTTGGGATGTGGGATACATTTCTATACTTAAGGCCATGATATTTAATGGAACAGCTTGTGTGCTTGCTGGGGTTACCTGTCAGAAAGAACTGGTCTATGAAAATATGACTTTCTGAACCCCTAGACAGTAATCCTTTATTTCTGAGAGTTTTGGACACTCTCATAGTGGAAAAACGAACAGGAAAAGCAGGACCGTCCCAATTCTGCGTGGTCTGGATCCGACTGCTGGTGAATGTCTGACGTCTTGGAAGCCACCACTAGGCAGGAGAAGTTTATGCTTCTTTTTGTGATTGCGCTCATTTTTTGTGGAACAATTTGTTCTTTACTTTTAAAAAGTCATTATCTTTGCTTGTATTTGGAATTGTAGAGGTTCAGGGCCACAGTCTGCTCTTACTGAGAAATAAAGATATATGTAGTCTGCAATAATGTGACGAAACCAAACACTTCAAGAAAAAACCCAAACCCTTTACAGCTTTTTTGCATTTCTTAACCTTTTACTAATACATTAGCACCTTAAAATTACTGAAAAATAATGTCTGCATACCTTGGGTTTTGATATGATTAATGAATAGGACCAGGATTAAAATTCTCCTTTCACAAAGAGAAAAATCAGGCTCTGCTTTAGGAACAATATAAAATTAGCATGAGAAACAAGAAGGTGTTCACTGGAGCTCAGCTGTGCATATATGTACCTTTATCCAAAATATTTTTAACGACTTCAGAGACTGAAGAATTGTTGTGTGCTTTGCTCCACGTTCCCTTTACATCCTTTGAGTAGCAAGAAGGGATTTTTGGGGCAGACAGGAAGGTGTTCAGGGCGAGCTGGGGCAGGCAGGATGGAGGCAGCGTGGCCAGAGCACACTGTTCCCTGCCTGGGCTCGGGCTCTGAGGGAGCCTGCTGCCTGCTCCAACAGCTCCCAACGTGCCATGTGGCTGGGCTGAAAATCAGGGAGTGGTTGAGAAGCAGCTTCTGAGGTGCTGCCCCCATTTCTACCTCACTGACTGAAATACTAAATGTAATTTCCTACCTGTACATGGAATTTTACAATTCCCAGGTGGACAAGCTGGGAAGCTCACAGCAGACAGGCTGGTGGCCTCAACTCCTCTTGTCCAGTGTTCTCCATGAAGGGTGAGATGAGCAGCACTGAAAATGAGTAGTTTTACATTGGGTTATCTTCATTGCTTACCTTGTAAATAAGAGCTGTGACATTTAACTTGGAACCTAAGTCATGTATAATGTGCATAAACAAGGGAAAGTGTGGGAGCTTTCCCTGATGAAGGTATATATATATCTATATGTGTAGAACAGCATTTATATGCAAGCAAACCTATCTTAATCACTCAGAACAAACCTACAGGAAAATAGTTTCTGGCGTGAGTCATGAAAAAAGCGAGGCCTTTCTAAGTTAATGTCTTCAGCAGTAATGTCAGCTCTGTGAAATACACAGCTCAGTCAAATCCTTGCAGGGTACCACAGCTATTCTTCTCTGCAGATGAGAAAACACGCACACACAATAAAAAGTTGTTTTGTTGGAAATTCCTATTGCTTCATACACACAAGCCAATTCACCTGCATGTTCCAAGAGGCTCAGTGGTGCAAAAAGCACACAACCACTTCTAGTTAAGCCAGAATCCTTTCTGTTACCACGGCAGCACCTCTTGCCTAAGGAAAAAATACAAGGCAGCAGCACGTCCAGAGTGATCCTTCTGAAACACTCTCCCAGTTCCTGGCAATTATTTGTGTAGGCGCTCCTGAACTGGAGCTGACCTCCCTGGAGAGCCATGGACAGGCCATTCCTGCACTCCTAAACCTCTCTGCTTCTGATTTACACCTCTGAGTAGCCTTCCCATGGCCCATGTGGGGCACAGGACAGAGCTGCTTTGAAGAAGAACTGAAATTATCCACTGCAAACAACAATTCCCTCGTGATTTCCTTTATGAACTGTACAGGTCTCGGCAGAGAGAGAAAGGGCAGTGTTGAGGCTGGAGCAGGTGAGTGATCTCGTAGGAAATGTGAGTTTTCCCCTCTGTGTCTCAGTGAGATGTGAGGCAGCCTGGGCCTCGGGGGGTGTTTGTGGTGAGCTGGGGGGCCCTGGCTGCTCCCCTGGGGTCAGGGCTGCTCGGGGCACTCGCAGCTGCACGGGAAGCGGCCGAGCTCTGCTTCACTGCCGTGGCACGTGCTGCTGGGCAGGGCTCGGCCCCCTCACAAACACCTCCAGAGAGAATCCCAGCTCTGCTTCACTGCCATGGCACGTGCTGCTGGGCAGGGCTCGGCCCCCTCACAAACACCTCCAGAGAGAATCCCAGCTCTGCTTCACT